TTTAAAAAAAAAAAAAAAAAAAGACTTCACTCCATGCCCTTGCATAGTTAATGCAAAGCAATTCATTACTGACAATTACATTTCCAAGTACGAGACTATGATTTATAAAAATAAAATTAACAGAATTTGTCCTAAACAACACTAAATTAAAAAGGCACACGTCACATACAAAAACCAAAGGCAAATGTACAACAACACAAACCCACGTAAGTGGCAAGCAACTTTTTTTTAAACAACATCTAACATTTCCTTTTTCTGGAGATGAAATAAAAAAAAGAATGAAAACAATGGACAGATACAAAGAATTCATGTTAAACACACACGGCAGCCATCTCTCACACGGACTGGACCAGGGGCCCACAAGCACCATCCAACAACACGACAGACAGCAGGTGGAATGACTCACTTTGGACAACTCACATCATGTCTGTCTGCTCAGGCTATCTGGCCTAAGAGTAGCTGATATATAAAAGAAAGTAAAATGATTTATTGTAACATGATGAAGAATTTCTAAGCTTCTCAGCAACTTAGTCAGAGCAAGGGTTCAACAAATTAGATTACCAGCAATAGCAGCCTTTTAGTTTTTCATTTAATATGTCTTTAATTATTTTGAGATATGTCTATATTTTTGATACTAATGCTAATAGCAATGGCCCCAGGCTCCTAGTGGTCAAGCGTTTGCCTGCAGCCCTGCAGTCCGCATCAGTCACAGTGACAGCACCGAATGAACCAGCAGCAGTCCACTGCACGAGACGGCCCACAGACACCACGGGCATGGAGGTTAAACGCAGAAATGTCAGCGATCTCTTCAGTATGGGTCACAGAAATTAAACCAAGAATAAATATTAACTATGGAATGGGAAAAGGGTGTCAGCCTTGGCTAATATATTTTTATCTCTAAAGGAATGAAAGATTGGATAAGTCTACTGAAGATATGAAAAGAGATTTAGGAAGAAAAAAAAATGGTAACATGCTCTCTTTGAATCAGAGTTGTATTTTCTACAGACACATAAACATGTAAACTAAGACATCACAGTGCTTTTCAGGCAAATGAAAAGAAAAATATAGGAAATTAAATGGAAAGTTAGGTTATTCATTCTCAAAATCCTAGAGGGGGGGGAAAAAATCACTTGTCTACAGATAGGTCTGAAAAAGAAAAAAAAAGAATGAAATGATGTTATTGAAATGAAACTGACCACTGTGAGGCTGCTGCATTGTATGCAAGGCTTGGAGGAGTTTAGGAAAAACGTTTAATTCTTGGAAAAAATAGGAAATTTCCCTTTTTAGTGCTCACTCAACTCTTAAAGCTGCAGCTTATCCTAGAAAACTCAACTGCATGACCAATAAATATATGATAATTGTTTGATAAATTATCATTAGCAGAAAATGAGAAAATGGGGGGATGATATTTGTTGGTCACTCATGTTGTTTTAAAAATTCCGATCCAACTTCTAAATTTGAGCCACTGACAATTCAAGTTGGTATCATGCTCCATGTATGACAAAATGAAGTTATGATATTTATAAGGCCTCCTTTACCGTGGCTGACACAATTCTCTAGCTTTATGAGTTGATATACATACGCACCACAATCTTTATTTATAAGATCCACCACCGGAAAACACTTGGTGTTTTAAGTTACAGGTGACAGGATGGATGGATCACTGGCTAGGGTTTGTTTCCTACAGAGGTGAGATTTTTTTCTTTCTTTTTATTGTGGCTTAATAAATATAAGTAAGTATACTGGATAATCCAGAAAGTGTTTTCTATGATATACTGCAGATTTAAGCACATCTTTGATTGGTTTTGAAGAGACAACTTTTTCTGCCCAAGTTCAGGTAATTCACTTGAAGACTGTCCACAGCCTGTAGCAAGATGACTGTGGGAATGCAGAAATGACAAGTCAATTATTAAGCATTCTGGCTGACAGTACCTCAGGCTTTAAAAAGCAAATTATTTCAGCATTGCTTATACTTAAGCATGGACAGCATTTGCTACAGACCTCTATTGTTGCGAAAGGGCAGTACGGACAGATGTACTGTTTCAATTTGGTAACTTTTTAGTTGCAAATTGTGAACCACTTGCCCGCTGAGTCTACTTCATGACTGCTAGTTATGTTTTAATTGTGCCGGTTAAAAATCATGCTGAAAAAATTTACATTTGATAGGCAAAGTTAAGTTTTACTCCCATACTTGTCTCTCTGTAGGTTGCTAGAGGAAAGCATAAGGAAAGTAAGAAAAACAAGAGAATGAAAAGAGAAGCTGCAGTTACGTTAAAAAGGAATTTCAAGGAAAAAAAAACACACAGAAGCCAAGTTCCTGTGTTAAATTTAGCGGCAAATATCCATCACAAATAAAGATTATACGCTAGCAGTAATTATGCGATAATGTTTACCAAAATCTTGAAAATTCTGTTAAATATATAGGCTTTTTAAAAAATAAGCTATTAGAAAACACAGTAATACAGAACGGGTTAGTGACAATCTCTCTCCCCACCCAGTTAAAACACACACACAAAACTATAGGTATAAACTGACTAATATTAACTTTATTTTCAAAGTTATTTTAAGTATAAAAAGAAAAACTACCATAAAGCTGCACTATACTATAGTTGGGTTACATTGATAATGCTGGATGTAGTTTTCTAAACCTAGGCATCCAAATCATCTTTATTAACTAATTCATTCCAAAAGCAAATTCTATCGGCAAGCTTTAGAGTCAACTGAACAGTATATTACATAGATAGGATACCTCTAAATGATATAAATCTTGAAGATGGGCTCTCGGACCATGTGATGTCAGTCCTGTAATAATATATTAAGATTTATGCCACCTGTGTCAAAAACATGGATAATTATTGGTAAATACTATCGTGACTGAATTTTTACTATAATATAGTGCAGTTTTAGAAGCCTGGCATGGTCAATACCGTTCTTTTTCAATTGAGCAACTAAGAATGTAATAATAAATATATGGCAACTTGGATATTCTAGAAAAAGGGCAAAGCTCAGAGCTCTGTTTATAGCAGCAAAGAAAGGCAGTTTTATTCATAAGTATAAGCACACCTGGTGAGTTAAATACAGGAGCTGAAGGGGCATTACATACAACTGTTTCAGCGAGCAATGTGTTATAGGGGTTGTTAGTGCCGTGGGGTCGAAGAAGAGGGTTTGTTAGTAGGTAATTGCCAGTCATTCCTAAAGCAAAAAAGAAAAGAAAAGGAAGGAGAGGAAAGAAAAGACAAGACATCAGTTCTCTTATTTTAGTGTTACAGTTGCAGTACAGTACTTTTTGTATTCATCAAGGGTAGTGAACAAGTTGGCAACGAAAAATCTGCTGAAATTTTCTGACTGTATTTGAACTACTAATTTGAAGGAGAAAGGGTAGAGGGAAGTTAAATTTCAGTAATTCACAGGTGCTTTCTAAGTCCCCCAAGTAAACACCTGCTGAGGATGACATTTACTAATTTATACAAAAAATCACTGTTAAACAAAAATGGCAATTAAATGCACAGAGATCAACATTATGTTTCAAGATGTTACTGCTTAATATTAAAAACCTAACCACTGAGGCCCAGAAGAGGGAATCTCAAACTTTCAGAATTTACAGGTGTGGGATTATCCCTCATGAAAACATCTGTGTTAATACCAACTTTGATACAAGCAGGAGGAAAAACAACTTCAAACAGATAAAAAGTATGACACATTGCACAAAGCTTCTCTTAGTAAATGCAAGAGCACACATGCTGAGGAAGAAAAAGGCTGTGTATAATGAATTATTGGACCATTCACAAATTTTACATAACAAGAATTTTATTTGCCAGGTTTCAAGAATGAATCATTGAATAATTCATTTCCTCTTTGATAGTCATCTTAACAAAATTAGGTAAAACATCAGAGCCGTGGAATAAACACACATTTCACTTATTCTAATTTACAAATTACAAACCTTTCAATACGTATCAAACAAGTTTTGCATAGCTAATGTAATCTGACTCAAAAATATTTTAAGATTCAACCTGGTTTTGACGTCATACATGCTCCTTTTTTCACATTTTAAACCAACTCTTATCAAAGCAATGTCAACAATGAAAAAATGTCATTGTGATAAAACATTAAATGTTATATTACCAATCAGCACAACAAAACTAAAATTACCTGGATAAATTACCTTTCCACTGATATATAAAACAACATGATTTTCTTCATACCAAACTAAAACTGAGTAAGCTTGCATGCAGAAATACGTGTGTGTACATGCACTTGTGTCTTTATCTTGCGAAATTATTTTATTTTCCAGCTTATTGTAAGAATCACATTGATGATGATAAATTTAAAGTTCTAATTGTAGACACATGAGAAACAGTTCAAAGAGAAAGAATTACTTTGTAAATTCTCATGTATTTTGTTTATGAAGACTTACTATAAATGTTTTTGACACTTTTTACTTTTTGAAAGAAATGTAAAATAAAAACTTTTGCAAACAGGAATTTTGGCATTGTTTAATGTGATTAGTAGTTATTCTAATTGTACTGATGGTTTTAGGAGGAAAACTCTGGTAAATGTCTCAGTTAAAAGAATAAATTTGTACTCACTAGGAAAACATTTGAATCTGTGGCAAAGTATATTTTCAGTAACTACTTTTTCTAGCCTTACTCCTAATGTGAACTCTAAAGTTATACTTTTTTTGTATGACAATACTGAATAAAAAGGAATTTATATGTACTTTAATAAAGGATAAATATTCACTCAACAGATTTAGGAGCTTGTGATCGATATAAACCCATTTGACAGAAAAGTTCCCAATTTTCTCTAGCATTACTGTAAATTGGCAAAAGGTACAAAATTTATATTGTAAATTTTCCTAGTAACTGACCTTGATTAAGTGTTGAAGTGCTATTGATGTCACCTGAGATAAAAGAAGATTCAGATTGTTTTCTCACAGTGTCATTCCACATCCTTCTTATACGACTCTATCAACATAAAATAGCAAGACAGACGTTATGTTAGTTTCCCCAAGCTCAACCTTATTAAAGACACACAAAGATTTACCCTAACAAACCGTGGATGACTATCTGTTGGGCTTTTAAAAGAAAATGTGTGTGGATACTGGCCTAAAATTACGCAAGTTTATACTGCTCTGTTGCTTTTCAACGAAGGGGCATTTAAATCCTATACTCTTTAAAAACCTTTTAGTTTAAAGTTGCCTTTCTTTTAAATGTGGAGACGACTAATTATTCAGCGGATGTTCACTGAGTGCCCACAACGAGCACTGTGCCATACATATAAGCCTCCAAGATGAAATGATGATGATACACTTTTTAAGCAAGTATACCTCTCATAAAAGGATGCTCGCACCTAAAGAAACACTTTCGAGCAATACTTCAGAAGAAATTAAAACCACAATACTAACAAAGCAAGTATCTGCTATCAGGACACCCTTACAATGAGACGGCTCGTGCCCCTGAACAGGAGCCGTCTGGGGGCTTT